TGAAGTACTTCGGTTTCTGGACAGCCCCGTGATGGACGTCGTGAACTAAGTTGTTAGGCTGAGATGTGCAGTCTTGTTGTTGTTTTCCCTTTTATTTTCAGGTCGGGATCCCTTCCTTCGTGATGCACGAATCGCGTGGAGTTGACAACAGCCAAACAGATAGTCCATAGCGCGCATTACCACGGGTCGAAGCTTGGGGAGAAGATGAAACGAGATTAGATCAATAAGGTCTGGAGAGTTATAGGGGTTATCAGACAGGATATAGTCCTTTAATAGGGGAAACAATGAACGTCTACCACAGTTATGGAAGGACATCAGGTGACTAAGCAAGACAGTCACAGGGCTTTCTAGAAACTGAAGTATCTCAGTGCAGTGATGGCATGACACTGCCATGCCCAGTTTGATAGCATACCCGCAACAATTCACTTCGTACTTTGGCTGAGCCCTCTTGCCCACTAGTTTCTCTACCTGAAACCACAATCAAGGTCTTCATCTAGCCCCAGCCGCCTCCGGGAGGCGTTCATTACAATTACAAATACTGAACCTCCCACTGGATATAAAAGTCTCGGTGTCTTCTGCTTTGTACTCCTCACTAGGTGAGCCATTTCCCTTGTAGTTCGCGTTCCTTCTGTGCGTTTGTGCAAACTCCTACCAAGCAACTTGAAAACCTGACTCCGCTCCAGTAGCAACAATAGTGCGTCTCTCCAGTTTCACTGAACATTGTGATTCTGAGTTTCCCAACACTGTTTATCCGTACTGCATATACTTCCACTTCAACACTTCCACTCACGCCCTTTCGGGAACCTGGCCATACGCCCGAAAGACCAGGACCACAAGGCCCCGGTGACGATTTAGGCTTTAGTTCAAATTGGCCGGTCAAATCGTGACAGTTCTGCTGTCTTCTCAGACCGTTATTTTGGTCTCACATATTTCACACATTGAAGTTTTTATCACGCAAAATATGGGAATCCTATTCCTATGCCCTTAATCGTATCACTTTTGCCCGCCAGGCCCGCACCCACTAGACACCGCACACGCCAAAAACCATGCCGTCCGGATTTGGTCATCACCATCCGAAAACCCTTCGTTGATCAGATGATAATTAAGGCTCCACTGGAATATAGCGACCATTGCGTGTTGACCTTCAATTTTATCTTTATTGAGTAAGAAGTCATACACATTAAACGGGGCTTCGAAACTTCTGCCGTGCAGACTTCTCAAGAATGCGCATTTTTCTAGAACGAGTTAAACGGGGACCAGATCAGTGGAAGAACTAAATGGGACCGTTGTCCAGAACGTCCACGAGGCTGAGGCCATATTCGTCCCAAAAACCCAGCACGCATTTGGATGAGCTGCAAGCTACCCAAAAGCATCCGGATTCTTCTATAAAAGAGGCCTCAACATTTTTCAAAAAGTTGACTACAAGAGACACACAAGATGAGCTGGCATTTCGTAAACTGCGGAACCACTGTAAATCAGAAATCCGCCAATTAAACATATGAAACCAAGCCTTGAAAACAGAACTGTTCTGTCCAATCACCTGAGACATCGCCGAGGAAACAAGCCATCCGCGTCCTCCTTGAGGAACAGGAACGTACAACCTACGAGTGACCCAGCAGTGATATCTGATGTATGCAGAAAACACCATGCAAGTCAATGTTCAGCCTTAGCGTCCTTGCCACATCCATACTCGTCAAGGCATAACTACGAACAGCCCCTAACCAACTT